AGGGACCGGACGGCATCCACTGAAGTTGGTGTAAAGGAGATGTAGAGTTGTGTGTCATCAGCATACTGATGACACGATGCCCCACACCCCCTGATGACCCCACCCAGCGGCCTCATATAGATATTAAACAGCATTGAGGAGATGATCGACCCCTGTGGAACCCCACAATTGAGATTCCATGGGGCCAAGACCCTCTCCCCAAGTTGTACTCTCTGGGGGTGGTCCTCCAGGAAGGAGCAGAGCCAGGCAAGTGCCAGGCCACCGACTCTCAACTCGGAGAGCCTCCCCAGGAGGATACCGTGGTTGACGGTATCAAAGGCAGCTGAGATGTCGAGGAGGACCAACAAGGACATGTTGCCCCTATCGGCCTCCCTCAACAGGTCATCCAACAGTGCGACCAGTGCCGTCTCTGTACCATAGCGCGGCCTGAAGCTCGACTGAAATGGGTCCAGAGCATTGGTTTCGTCCAAGAGCGCCTGAAGCTGATCTGCCACCACCCTCTCATCCACTTTGCTGAGGAAGGAAACATTGGCGACGGGCCTATAATTGCCAATTTCGTCCGCCGCCAAATTTGGTTTCTTCCTAATGGGCCTAATGAGTGTCTCCTTGAGGGCGAGAGGGACCTTGCCCTCCTGGAGAGACCCATTAATTATTGCAGTGGCCCATTCAGTTGTTACCGGCCTGGCTGCTTTGATTAGCCAGGCCGGGCAAGGGTCGAGAGAAGATTAATGATGCATTAATTATATTCAGAAGCCAAGGTGAAGGCTAATAATATAATCCTTTACTTGTCTATTCAGAAGCATGGATTCAGTGGACTTATTTGCAGATAAATACCATAGGATTGCAATAAAAAAGAGAGGTCCACATCACACCTAAGCGTGATACTTCTTGAGGGTTTTTTAATCAATTAAAAAAAGTTAAAAGAAAATTGAAAGTAAAAGTTAAAAGAAAAATTTAGTATACCTGGAAAGATAAATCCCAGATCAATACAAAGTGAACTGAGCTATTGAAGACAGCTATTTGCCTTTCTCTTACACCTCCTTGGAATCTTCTCTCTGTTCAACCTACTGTTGCTTATCTCTCTAGTTCTGGCTTCCATTTCTTATCACAGCTCTGATTTATATTTATATTCCTGCATGGAGATACATACCAACCTTAGGGAGTGGTTTTCCCATTCTTATTTATTTATTGTTTAAAATAATTTATTTTGAAAATATGCTATACAAAAGCAACAATAAAAATTACAGTCCTCCAAAATAACATACCCAAGAGCATCAGATGGTATTGCTTAATTAAATTAACATGTCTTTTCATAAGTCAACATGAAAGGCTGCAGGATTGCTGAAAGAAATAGTATAACTTATTACAATACTGAATAAAAGAGAGCCAAGTTTTACAAAATGGGTCTGTGCTGGAATTCTGGGACATTGGCTGGCAATGTGCAGTGAGTTTTTCCATCAATGCTATTTTGCATACTCTAGATTCCCAAGCATTTATTGAAATCTCTACAGCCACTTCCCAACATTGGGCAATCATTTGCTTAGCTGCTACCCATAGAAAAGTGATTAACTCTTTGTGATATAATAATGCATTGGAGTCCAAAAATAAATCCATTAATTCCAGTGCTGGAGTCATGACAGTCTTTTGTGATTTTATCTTTCTAATTAAAACAACAACTTTACCCAAAATTAAATATTCTAGGGCAGTGCCACCAGGAATGTAAATATGTACCAATTACTTTGGAGCCTCTTCAGCAATTTGGATCCAGATGTTTCTTTATTTAATTCAATTTGAATGGAGTGTAATACCATCAGTATGCCACTTTGCGGCAATGCTCTCTTACAGATGCTGAAATGGATTTAAAAGGTTTTTTTAATTACACCACAACCTTTTCCAGTCTTTGTCTCTAATAGAAAATTCAAAGTCTTTTTTCCAAAACTTCTTTGAGCACTGTCACATTACCTTGTAATATATTAAGAAATACAGTATAGGATAAATCTTATCATTCAGCCCTTTATGGGCATCATAAGCCAATAATGTTATGTTTTCCATTGGTGTTAGAGGTTTTCCAACTACTTCTGTAATTTATTTATTTATTTATTTATTTGTTTGTTTGTTTGTTTGTTTGTTTGTTTGTTTATTTATTTATTTATTTATTGCATTTATATGCCGCCCATCTAGACATGGTCTACTCTGGGCGGCTCACAACATACAAATAGCAAACAATTTAAAATATAAACAATTTACATAGATAAAACAGAAAAATATATAATCAAAGAACTTACAGTTTTTAATATGAAAATACAGTGGCGGTGGTGGATTACTTGGGTCCCTCTTCTCTCCTTTGGCACTCCTGATAAGACCAGATAGGCGGGATATAAATAAAATAAAATAAAAAAATAAAAAATATGTAAAATATATGATGTGGCCCTCATACTGAAAAGTTTGGAGACCCCTGTTATAGACCCTAAGAAACTGCACAGCGGTGTTTGTTTTAGAGATTGCTTGCAGCATTCCAAAACAAGTGCAATGTTTCACTTTTTGATATTTGATATTAATAATAGTATCTAATTTAAAATATGTCTGATCCTTTCCTATTTCATGTTAATACAGGTATATAATAGGGAAAAAAGGTGAAACGAAGAAGAAACTAGAAACAGAAACCCGAACCTCTATCACTATTCCTAAGCCTGGTGTAGAAGGCGAAATTGGTGAGTTCTAGGATTATTAAAGGCATCCCAATATAACTTTTCATATGTGTGTCTGAGATAATGTAAAAGTGGCAGATGATAAAGGCATCTTACCACAACTTGTAAGAAGTATTCTCCTTCCTTTATTTAGTGAATCATCAAGAATGAAACAAGTTCCTTCTGTAAGAAAGGTACCTTTATTGCAGAATGTCAGAGTAATTACTGGGCGGACCCTGTTACTATCCTGTGAGCTTGGATTCATGGATCCTATGAGCTGAACTCTGTTTATTGGATATTTCTGTTTTCGAAGCAGGGGAATTTTTGCTCTTCCACCTTGTAGCTTTATGTACACCCCAACAAATATGCTCTGAAGGATGGCAAGGGGATAAGGGAAAGGGGAAAGTGAGCCTCCAATACACATTGGAAAGTGACATAAAAGACTGAAAGAGAAATGAATGAAAATTGTCTTCCCGTGCTTATGCTAGTGAGATACTGTATTTCCCCAAAAATAAAACAGGGTCTTATATTAATTTTTGTTTATTTTACAGTCATGTCATCTTCTGGTTGCTGCATAATGCTCCACAATGGTGGAAGACGGGGTTTCACTTAACTAGGGCTTATTTTGGGGGTAGGGCTTATATTATGAGCATCCTGAAAAATCATACTAGGGCTTATTTTCAGGTTAGGTCTTATTTTCAGGGAAACAGGATACTTCATTGGATCAAAGATCCTTCCATGAATGGTAGGTGTCCTTTTGTTTGAGAAAGAAAAGGTTTAATTCCAACCCCAATAAAAATATCTCATCGTTGGTACATCCACCACACAAAATGCTTTAATAAATGCTATTCTCCCCCCTTGCAGCTTCTTCTTCTTCTTTTTAAAATCTTCTCTACCAATTTGTTTGACTGAGGAAACATTTTCTGCCCAGTACCCAAATTCCAATATTGGAATGGTCTTAGGGGCTTTAGATTGGGATGTATAGCACAAGGCAGGTCTATGTAACAACTTCCTGGGCTGGAAACCACTGCTTAATCCCATCCAGCAGCTTCCCAGAATTTAAATCACCCTTTATCTGTGATCATTAATTGGCAAATAAAAGCAAAAGGTGGAAGAAACCAGTCGAGGGAACATACAGTAAATGGACTGCAGGCTGGAGGTTCTCCATCCTTGACTCCTAAATCTTTTCTATTTTATGAAATACAGTGGTGCCCCGCATATTGACGATAATCAGTTCCAAAAAAATCGTCGCTATACGGATTCGTTCCTGTGCGGGGCAAAAAAGCCCATAGGAACGCATTGAAGCCCCTTCAATGCGTTCCTATGGGCAAAAAATTCACCTTAAAGTGAAAATCCTCCATGTGGCCGCCATTTTCAGGAAAGGGTGCAAAACACTGCTGGCGGCCATTTTTTTCGGCGGCCATTTTGGAACCGCCGATCAGATGTTTTTAAAACATCATTATGCGATAATCGGTAAGCGAAACGCTTACCGATCATTGCAAAGCGATTTTTACCCATTGAAAACATTGTTATGCGATCGCTTTTGCGATTGCAAAAACCTCATCGCTATGCGGATTCGTCGTTAAACGAACTGCTCATTATGCGGGGCACCACTGTCTTGCATTTAGCATTGTGGGCCCTTATATCTGTTCTTTCATCCTATTTTCCATTTCTCTTACCTAACTTGGTATGCCTGCCCCTTCTACATATGTGTTCTGATGTTTCCAGGGGAGAGGTTCTCTTTGATACTGCTTACCTATTGTTTGGGGTCAGAGGTGGGAACTGCGCAGCCCAGGCACTGTGTGCTCCATCCCAGGCCATTTTGCAAGCATTCTGCTGTATGCCTCGGAAAACCTCTGTTGTATTTGCCTTGTAAAAGGCATGTTTTCTGTTAACTTGTCCAAGAAATTTAAAGGAACCGGTAGAAGCATGGTGTTTGCATGTCATATTAAACCTATTGTGCACAAACCTTTTTTTGCCTCAGAATTGCATATGATGCTGGCTTGGGTGTCGCATGTGCCATGTGCATGTACACATAGACATCCCAGTTGATCCAGTCTTTCTCCCAGAGACCATAATTCAGTTAATTTTTCCTGGCTGGAACAATTGCAGGAGCAAAAGAAGAACTTTTTCTCTGCATCATGCTCCAGTGCTCCTGTCACAGGTCGCCTGCAGCAACAGGGAAAGAACAATTTGTGTGAAATCAGCAAAGGAGAATTTGGCAGTGACGGAGAGGGGATCAATACACCCTTTTGGGGTGGCATTTAAGTCCTTAAAAAGCCACAGCTTGTACACACACACAGCCAAAACCCCAATTCAGAGTTGTGTGCAGAATTAACAGCAGCAAATCACAAGCTCACAACCTCAACCTCCCTTTTCTTACAATAATGTAGCTGGAGGTAGAGTCAGAAAAAACTATATTTACTGTAGTAAATATAGTTTATAGTAATATAAAACGTTAACCATGATTTGCTCAAGTACACAGCTTCAAACCATGATTAGTGGCTGTTATCTTATGGAGCTTCTGTTGAAGCTCACAACTTCAGTTCCCCTGTCCTCCTTCAGTGGGGTTAGGAGGAGGGAGCATTCACAAAATTTGCTTCTACTGAGTTTTACATTAACTCTGGGTAGATTCAAACCAGCAATTTCAAATTACAGTTGGGGCAGTATGCTGTTGATCAGAGTGTCATTCTCGTGGATTACTGCAAGATAATGTAACTTGCACAAGCATTGCCATTGCACAAACGGGGAGAGTCTTCTGTGTAACAGGAACACTTGGCACAATCCTGGGTTATTTCAGCTGAACCTCAGTACGATGTTGGCCACTACAACTTCTTTGTTTGTTTGTTTATTACTTAATTTTTTATACCGCTCCCTATTAATGCTGAGGCACTACTCTGGGTGGTTTACAATGCTAAACAAAACAAACTCAAGATAACGCTAAAACAATTTAAGACCAGTATAACAGCTAATCAGTAAAAACAAATGGTGCTAAAACAATAGAACGAAAGAGTAGCAGGCAAAGAGTAGTGAACTAGGGTCGGTGTGGAAAGCTTCTCTGAAAAGCCACATTTTCAGTTGCTTCCTGGATGTTCACTCTAAGGGGGCCAGGCAAAGCTCATCAGGAAGCTGATTCCAGAAGTTTGGAGCCACCATAAAGAAGGCCCTACCTCTAGCAGTTGACTTACGGGCATCTCTCAGGGTGGCAACCTCAAGGAGCCTCATCTGTGATGATCTAGTGGGTCAGGCAGATGACATTAAGGAAAGATGCTCTGAGAAGTAATGTGGGCCCAAATCATGGAGAGCTTGAGTGTCAAAACTTTGAAACTGATCTGGGATGTAATGGGTAACCAATGGAGACAAGCCAGGATTGGGTTGGTGTGGACAGATTTTCTCATGCCAACATTCAGTCTCGCTACCACATTCTGAACCCTCTGTAGTGTCTGGATCAGTCTGAAGGGAAGTTCCACATAGAGAGCATTGCAGTAGTCAATCTGGGAGATGACCAGCACCTGCACCAAAATCCTGAGGGAGCTCTTGTCTAGGTAGGGGTGGAGTTGGGTGATTAGCTTAAACTGGTTAAAGGCTGATTTGGACATGGCTCTGATTTGAGATTCCCAAGAAAGAGCTGGGTCCAGAAAAACACCCAAATTATAAATTTGGTCTCTAAACGGGAAGGCAATCCCATCCAATTTAGGGACAATCCCCCCACCCAATTTTGGAGGGTCCCCACCAGGAGCAAAATCTCTGTATTGTCCAGCTTCAGTTTGAGCATGTTGACCCTGGACCATTCCATTCCTGAAGCCAGGCATCACTCAAGTGCCTAAATGGCATCCACTGCGGAGGTGATAATGATGACATGCAACTCTAGAATTACATGACCTTACTCCCAAACTCCTGATGACCCTCCATCCCCAGTGGCTTCACATAGATGTTAAATAGTATTGGGGACAGTTCTGACCTCTGAGGAACTTTACGCCTTAGGGTCCAAGGGGCCAACACCACATCTGCCAGCTGAACTTTCTGGAAACAGTTCTTGAAGAAGGATTGGAGCCAGCTCAGTCCTAAACCTGCAATCCCAATCTCCGAGTGCCTGTCCAGAAGGATACCTGGGTCGACAGTACCAAAAACCACTGAGAGATCCAGGAGTACCGTCAGGGTACATCTGCCCCCATCAGCCACCCTTAAAAGGTCATCCTGCAGCATGCCTAGTATCATCTCAGTACCTTGCTGTGGCCTGAATCCAGATTGGAATGGATCAAGGCAGTCCTTTCCTCCAGGTATATCTGAAGCTGATTTGCCATCACCCTCTCAATCACCTTGCCCAAGAATGTCATACCGTATTAGCGATCAGACAAAAGTTGTTCAAACTGTCTGTTGCCAACTGGGGGCACTTAATGATGGGTTGGATAATGGTTTCTTTTTTATTCTTTTCAATGGGGATAGGGTTATGGGGAAGGGAATTTAGGGTTGCGGGGGTAGGTACAGATAAAGAAAGGGTAAAAATCCAGAGAGTGAGATAGTACATTTGCATCAACTTGTACACTTATACTACAAACAAAAATACAGTGAAAAGAAACCAGTAACTTTTCCCAGTATTACTATAGTTACTAATCTATCTATTCCCTATTTGGACTTTCACATTCTTCTTTAATCTATGCTTTCCACGCTATCTTTCAAGTCTAATTATGGAATTATTACTTCTGTTTCCTCCAACTCCGTGACTTCTCGTCTTTCCTGTCACTTCTTCTAAGTCCAGGATATCTCTTTTCTTCTATTATCCATTTAATAAGTTAACTGTAGAGATTACATACATTAGCAAATATTTCATTTCTCTAACTAACATCTCAAGGATAATAGTTTCTTTAATGCATGAAGGCAGGATTCCTTTCTTCAGTGATGAATTCACGATGTCCATGACTCTCTCAATCATGGCTCCCTTTGTGGCTTTTATCAGCTATGATGGGCAGGAGTCAAGCAAGGACATGGTAGGCCTACAGCTCACCAGCACCCTGAAGACTTCCTCCACTGATACAGGGTCAAACCAATCCAAGCAGATAGACGGACAGCCTGTTAATTTGCTAGTGAAGTCAAGGTTGGCACAAATGGCCTTAACTTTTGATCTGAAGGAGGCTGTCAACTGATCATTAGTAAAATCAAAGTGAGGCCATGGCTGGTCAGGTTGTGAACCATCTGGAACAATTCTGCTTATTGGTTTGTAGCCTCCCCTATACTCCTGATGTTAAATGCCCTTTTTGCAATTTTTAAAGCATTGGCATACCTTCTGGTCATGATCTTAACTGCAGCCGTATTTTGAGCCGACTAGTCCCTCCTCCACCTGTTCTCTAGCTGTCTCCTTGCTAACTTCATAGCTTGCAGCACCTTGGTATACCAGGGGCAGAATAAGTTCTCAAGCAGAGAGGGTGATCATGTCAGCTGCCCAGATTATCTCCAGATACCATCTATCAACCTGGGCTTCAACAGGATCATCTACCAGACTATCCAGACTAATCATAAATTAACCAGAATTATGGGTCTAGTGACACAGTAATTGGTGGTTAACCAGCTTAGCAACATGGTAGAAACTGAGGATACATATAGCTAGTTTTAGTTCATTTAAATCATAGTTTCATGTGACATGATAATGTACCCAATCTAAATTTATCCTGGCTATAAAAAGGAACAATTTTTCTAATCTGCTTGTGATACTATCAAAAAGCATTTGGTCAAGGATCTTGAAGATATAAATTTAGGGCTATCATTAGTACCTACTTTACTTTATTCAAGAAGAAAGAATTTTGGTTTTCTCAGATATGCTTTGCAGAATTATGCAGAGTCAGTTATTATAGCTAGCATGATGATAACATTAAAAATTAAACAGGTATGATTAGATACTTGCTATCTATTCATTTTACTGTAATTATGATATATCGGTATAAAACACCATAATTTTACATAAATAAAAGTTTATGTGTGTAATAAAAATAGGCAGTGCACCCATAACATAAACTTTGATACCCTGAATGGGTCAGAGAAAACAGAATTTATTATTATATGTATTATAACAGGGATAGTGGGGGAAAATAATATTTTATATGGAAATGAATTAATAAATTCAACAATAATCAAGTTTGGTATGATTGAAATTTCTGAGCTTGTCAAATTGGTCAACAAATACAAAGCTCTATTGGGGAATTAACATTTGCATGAACTACAGGGAAGTTCTAATTATTAGATTGTAATAATATATTCATATTTAGGGGAAACCACCTATTTATTAAGAAGTAGGATTCATGTTGGAAAAGATTACTTCTTTCCATTAGTGCCAACTGTTCTTACAAGTGTTATAGTTAAACTCAAGAAACTGATAATGTTGCCCTAGTTTTATTTGAGGCTTTAAAAAATAGATTGCTAGCAAAGTCAGACTTCAGAAATCACATGGGGAGAAAGGAGGGCAGCTGCAAAGACTTTACTTGCATGTCACAATAAGCCATAGCATGATTTGTTCAAAGTCCAGATATTTGGGATATATGAAATCGCCTCTGTTCACACACCAAGTTTTGTTCATCAGCCAGAAATCAGAAACTGGACTGATGATGTGCTATTGCCTTACAAACTAGCTTGTTTAAACCATATTTTTTTCCATGAAATCTGAACTTGCAGCTATGACTGATACCTAACTTGTTTCTCCCGTTGCCCACTCTAAAACAGGAGCTGACAAAAGCAGAACTTGGAAATTGCATTTACGTTTTTAAAAAACAGATTTTAACATTTAAGAAGAAAAGATTACTTTTCCAGAACATCAGTCCATTACTGTTCAACTGTATATGTTTGGGGCATCTTTGTACTGATTCTTTTTAAAAGCAACCTCCCAATCTCTCGACAAAGGAGATGGGAGAGAAATAAACTAGAAATTGGTAGTGTGACTAATCTTTTAGTTATCAGCCAGGCAATCCACAGCTTAAAGAGTAAATCATGGTTAATACAAATGATGGACTTTTGTGTATGCACACACAGCAATAGTGACTTTTAAGAAACTTCATAAAAACATTTGGATCTAGACTAAACCAGACTTTAGCCTTATGTACCCAATCAAGATACAACATTGATCTTTATTATTTGTAGAGATGACTGCCACCTTTTTATTAACTTTGGTTATCCGTACTGCAGAAAAACCTGCTGTGAATGTTTAGCTTTCATAGTACATATATCATGTTGTCACAAACCTATTATGTACTTTACTTCCAGTGATCACAGGACAACACCGAAATGGTGTCATTTCTGCTCGAACACGAATTGATGTTCTAGTTGAGAGCTTTCGCAAGAAACAGCCCTTCACACACTTTCTGTCATTTGCACTAAATGAACGTGCAGTCCAGGAAAATTTTCTACAATTCAAGGAGGAAGTGTTGGATCAGTGTTCAAATGTAAGTTGCATTGTTAATATTCACAGATAATTTCAGTTTTTTACAAATTAGATACCGTTCCAGAATGCAATGTAAACATTGCTAGATCAAGGCATATTTAAGCATATACAGTGGTGCCTCGCAAGATGAATGCCTCGTGGGATGGAAAACCACAAGACAAATGTTTTTTTTTAATCACTATGGTGCCTCACAAGACAGTTTCTTCTATGGCTGTGCTTCACAAGATGGTTTCCCCCCTGAGACCGATGCCTCGCAAGATGAAAAAAAATCATTCGTCTAGCGAGGTTCCCATAGGAATGAATTGCAATGCATTCCTATGGGAAACCATTTTTCGCAAGACAGCGCTATTCGCGGAATGAATTACATTCATCTTGCGATGCACCACTGTAGTTAGTAGCACCACTATTGCCTGAGATGATGGACTTAATATCAATAATGTTTTAGGGTAATGACTATGAAGAGAAGATTTAAAGGTTAGATAAACAAATGTTATTTAGTTGTAGACTATAAGTTATTTATTGAAGACTTATGGTTTTCATTCATTTAAGATTTGGGCACATTGACACCGGAATCAAGGTTTTTTTAAAAAAATTGATCCATTTGAAATGTGATATTAGAGGATAAATGTATAGATAGCACAGCCTGCCGAAAAGATCAACTGGGTGCCAGATCAAAGCAAGCCTTAACTCTCATTTGAACCTAAAGGGACTACATTGAGGCTATCGTACTTTGGACATAGTGGCCAAAATCCTGTATAGTGAGTCAGAGTAGGCCCATTTGAATCAATGGAACTTACAGAAGAGTTGACTCATTAAATCCTCATTGACTAAATGGGCCTACACTAATGCAATTTTTATACTAAGCAACGGGGTTTTGGTCATTGTGAGAAGACAAGACTCATTGGAAACAATAGTAATGGTCAAGAAGCCAAAGGTGTGGGAAAGGATGAAGTCTTAATATCATATGGATTAATTCAAGAAAAGAAGCCATGGCTTTTAGTTTTCAAGACACAAGCAAGGCTGTTAATGGCAGGATTTTTTCAAGATTGCTCATTAATAGGGTTAGGTATATTGGAAGCAACTTAATGACACATAACAAAAGTAGCAAAGCAACTATTTTTTTTCCTTACATCTAGCTTTTCAATCAACACTGCAGACCTAAGGGGCTATTAAAATATATGGACTCCATACTCATAAATGTACAGTATCTGATTCTGATGTGGAGTAATGTGTGAGGAAATTTGAGAAATAAAATGCATTCAAGCTTCTTTCCCTGCCTTGCAAAGAGGTCAAAAATTCATGAGCCACTTTGAGAAATTATGTCTAGAAGTTGATCAAAATATTTTAATGCCCTTATTATAAATTCATGTTCTACATAAATTGGATTCTTGAAATGAAATTAGGTAAATCAGTGTTTGATGTTTATTGTATTTTATTTTAAATCTCTGCAATGGAATTCACTCAAGATCCTAATTATTTACGTTTCTTATGAAAAATTCTGCTAAACACAATCTATAGTACGAAAGAGTTAAAAGCCACTTCCTAAGACTGATGTTCTAGTTTGCAAATGCTAAAGTATTAAATGACACGGTGTGAATGGCTTTAGAAAATGATTTCTTTGTACAGAGTTGCAAAATATGCAATCCACTAATTTAAGAAGTTTTTATTGGATTCCTTGAATTCCGACAGCAAATCTAATTACCTGTTTTGTCACTTTATTTATTTACAATATTGATACTTCCAAAATCCAGAATGAAGTTGCTGCAAGAATCTCTTTTCATGCAAGAGAGACGTGAGACAATAAAAGACCAATTTTTCCTTTTATTTCTTCTTCTTCTTCTGTGATCTAGAAGAAGAAACATACAGTTTCTAGTTAGGTAAAGAAACCTGCTGCTTCCACATATGTTTTTTAGTAATTTCATGGTCAATAATGCCACTCTGAAACCACTTTATCTCACAGCAGGATCTGCAAGAAAGTGCATGAGTAGTTTTTTTTTAAAGGGTATTTGGAAACCTGTGCTTTTCAGCACAATAAGAAAGTATAGTGAGCTGTGCAAAGCAGCAGGGGAGTTTTTAGGATGGTTTGAAAAACTTGAATACATGCCAGTTACAAAAGCTGTGTGTGGTTTTTTTCTGCTGCTGTTTTCAGCTTCAAAATAGAGCAGTCAGTTAATGATATCTCTATTCAAATGTGGTTGATTAACAGCCAGAGTGTATACAGTATATGTGTGTATTAAAAAGGAATAATATCAGGTGTGGAGATTAGCATTTCTGCTGGTTGTCGAGCAAATGGTAAGGTATCTTTTCCTTTCACTAGAATAGTTACTATGGCAACCATCCGTCCATCCTTTGTACTGCAATAGTCTCGTGTCAGTATATACTGCAGATAAGTCTCCCTGTTTTTTTGTTTTATTTTGCTTCATGAGACAACCGAAGGTTATATTAAAATGTGAAAATCAATATATACTATCCATCCAGTCTTTTACAGTGGTAAGCAGCTTGCCTATGACAATGAAATATTAAAATATGAATACATTTGTTTTATTTTTATACATACTCTGTCATTCTTGCCCAGAAAAAAAAACTAATTTGCCAGTTGCCTTAACAACATCCACGTAGCAGCAACTACAGTCAAAGTTCTTCAAAATAATTCCAGAAAAAAATTATAATACTCCGAGAAATAATAATGAGGAATCTAAATCAGATAAGGTCAGCTGACATTACACCAAATGCTTGCCAGAAATATTTTTATGTAACTTCATGTTTGAAAGAAGCTATCTTTGGGCTCTGCAAGATCTCCTTGAGAACTGAGTTATACCATCAAGGTGGGCTAAAAGAGAATGACTGTGCCCTTCTTGACTTCATGGGGAATGGGAACTGTCAGTTGCTGCTAGTCCTGATGAACTCTGTGCTATCTTGAGTATTGGGCACAGCATGCCTCTCTAGAAGAGAGCCATTCACCCCTGTTCGCTTGTGAGCTTCTCACAGGCATCTGGTTGGCCATTGTGGGAAACAGAATGCCAGACTAAATACTGTGGACTGAACCACAGGTGTCTACTTACCGTATTTTTCGCACCATAAGACGCACTTTTTCCCCACAAAACAGTGGGGTGGGAAGTCTGTGCGTCTTATGGAGCGAAGAAAACAGATTATATTTTCCTGTTTTCTTCTCCAAAAAAATTGGTGCATCTTATGGAAAGGTGTGTCTTATGGAGCGAAAAATACGGGTACTTTATTTCTTAGGAACTTGGTTCTTGGATTAGGGCAGGGGTCTGTAATAGGCAGCCTGTGGGTTACATGTGCCTCCCTCAGAGTCTCAAATGCAACTCCTGTTGTCCAGGAACAGCCTTCTGCTGCCCAATTATTAATTTTTTTGGAGATGAAGCATTTACTTTAAGAAGTCCCCTTATGCCCTATAAGGAGTGTGGTACTAATTTTACCATGTTCTGAGGCATCAACATCACCCTTGTTCCCTACACCCTTCAAGTTATTTTTTTAAAGAATGGCCACCACCAGAGGATGCAGTGGGGGATTTTCAAGTAACAGTGTGGCATAGTGATAAAGTGAGGGACCAGGACTCTGGGCAACAGGGCTTGAATGCCTGCTAGGCCATAGAAACTCACTGAGGGAGTGGAACTGGTAAAGCCACTCCTTAAATATCTTACTTAATTTGAAAGCCCTGTTACGGTTGCTATAAGTCAGTTCTGAATTTGACAGCACACCACAACAATAACCCTTATTTTTGGAAGACATTTTTGGGGAGAAGGGTTGAGTACAGCCTCTGTAGTTCACAGATGGGTGTGTATGGCCCCTGAACCTTGCTGATGATCACCCACCCTGGGTTAGGGGATCTCTAGCAGATCCTAGTCAACACAGAGAAGGGGTGAGCAAAATGAACTCTGAAGCCACATATGATGCTTATGGCTAATTTTATTTTTGCACCAACACCCCCCTGTAAAATAGATGAATGAATGAAGAATGAGGGAAAACTTAAAAGATGTAAATTTCTGAACATGTAATCCTCCAGGAACAGGACATTTGCTTTGATGTGCATGGGCTCAAATGCAATCAACCTTGTCCCCAACCCTGGGCGGTAGATTTCTGAAAACTGTTTTCACCCCCAGATCTTTCACACTACTGGAAACTGATGCGGTCCCTGGTGAGTCCTGAGGACAGGAAAAAAATCACTAACGCTCCCCCCGCCCCTTTGTTGCTCACTCTGGCAGGTTTATACAGGACAGGAATGGGTAATCTGCAGTCCTTCTGTGACTCTGGAAGCTGTCCATTCAGCCGACTGTGGATAATCCTGTTCCTTTAATTCACCCTTATGCCATTGTAACAGATGGCGCAATGAGTCATTGTGTGCACCCTGTTTGAAAGTGAAACTGGGCACTCACAAGCCTACTGGTTGCTTAGAGTATTTTGCAGGAGCCTAAGAAGGAATTAAAAATGTTCCTCCTTCTTGAATAAGGTGAGTTCAGTTCCAGTTGGCAAAGACACCTCCAACCCAAATTGGAACCTGTAGACTGCCAGAAATTGTGGCGCTAATACAAATTCCATGTCGAGCTGCCTCTACTGATTATCATTTGTGGCTGAGGATCATGGAACTTGACACTCGTGATAGTCAGCTGCACATAAGGGAATTTTATGTCCCTTCTTTTTCTCTTTCTCTTCTTTGGGAAGGATAGCACACAGAGAGAAATGGTGGCCGTTGAAGTGTCCTGTCAAATTCTTAGAAACCGCTGCAAGGTTTCAAAAAACATTGAGATTCTAGTATCTTTCCTTGCTTTTCTAAACAGTAAATGAACAAATTAGATCTTGTAATCCTCGATGTACAGTATATGTAAGAAGCATCTTCTCTCTCTTCCTGGGTGAGGTTTAGAATTGGAGTTTGATGAAAAATTAACAGTAGCTTGGAATCATTTGATTAAAAAAACTTGATACCTTTGCGCTGTGCTGATGGGATGCATTAGAAGAGAGGCATGGTTTATGCTCATAACG